AGTACCTGCTGAGAGCTTATTAGTGCAAGGGACAGTGTGTGAAATGCTGAAGTGCAGAAGTGTTGAAGTCACAGTAGGAAGCCAGAAGGGGCTCCTGATTTCCATTGCAGTGTCAGTCAATACAGCTTCATTTTTATACATGCATAAGGCCCTTGCATGATATCTGAAAAGCCTCCATTACTGAAAGTCAGTGCTAAAGAGAATGCCAAAAAACATGAAATGCAGCCTCTGCCTTCAAGCCTTTAAAATAAACATGAAGTCACAAAAGTTGATTAGGAAAGGGGAGGTGGTTCTCAATACAAGTATAAAACAGTGAAGGAAAAAAAAAGAGAATCTGTGAAAACAAAATCTGAGTACATGAGAAAGATAATCACTATGGATCAAGTGGTCTGGAAAGACGGAGAAAGCATTGGAGTGCTACCTGCCATCTATCAGTGCCTCCATGCCTCCACAGACCCTTTTCCTGAGCTTGTGAACCCTGGTCTGACACCAGCATGGAATCCAGAACCCACTTGTACTTTGATGATGCTCTATACTGGCAATTAGGTGACAACTGTGCTGTTGGTTCATGGATGCTCTCAACAATTAATCATCTCTGGTCACAAAGAGTCGGACACAACTGAGGGCCTTAGCACACATACACACAACAGGGTAAGTGGCTGTGGCTAATTCCTCAACCTGAGGACAATAGTCCTGAGAGCCACCTGTGAGCACCAGCTATTGTGACTGGCCTCTTTCCAAAGATCCACCGGAGGAAACACAGCCGAGCAACATGTGTCCCCTGCCCTGCTGACCCCTGACTTGGCCATAGAATCCTTCTTGACTAGTGTTCTCTGGAAGCTATACCATCTGAATGGAGTTGGGACTTAGGTGAAATTGTGGTCTATATCTATCTTCTCATGTGGCTTGTCAAGTCTTATTGGATCCACCTTCCCTGCTGCACCAGCCCTCCAGCCTTGATCAATATATGCTTCAGCCTGTGATATACCTTGGACTACCCTTTTTTGTGTTCTGCTGCAATGAAGTCTCAGCAAGCGATGTGTTCAGAGATGGGGTGACACAAGGACTTGCAAGGAAAGCGGGAGAAGACAGTGAAGAGCTAAGAAGGACCAGGCACCTGGCATGCTTCTGAAAAAGCAGATTTCTCTGTCCCACTGCTGATCACAATCGCTGAAGTGGGGCCTAGGAATCTGCATTAAAGCAGTGCTTGCAGTGTACTTAAAAAACGTTTTATTATGGAAACTTTCAAATATACAAAATAATACAGAGTAACCAATATTGTTTCATTTAAACACCTGAATATGGCTCTCCACTCCTGACCCCACTGGCTTATCCTGAAGCCAATCTCAGATATCACGTCATTTCATCTGTACATATTTCTGAAAGATAAGGATGTAAAAAGCATGACCACAACACCAATTCTTTATAATCATCAGTCTCCACTGAAGTGTCCTGAGAAAGACCTGGGAAACTCTAAAAGCAGTGACCAGATTGGTGACTGTGTCTTGGTTATGCGATTGAGAACAATTTGGAAAGCATTAATTCAAGCTGTTGATCATATCTTGCCCCTTAGGTAAGGAGCATGTGTATAAGTGGCCAGCACAGTGCCTTGCACATGACAGCCAACATGGTTTACATATCTTTTCTCAAAACCTGTAATTGATACATTGCCTGATGCACTTGAACCTCAAACTGATACAAATCTTCTTCAAAAGAAAAGGAGGCCTTTGCAAGTGATCCAACTTTTCTTGTACTCACCCATAATAACCCCAAGAGCTATAATTTATTGATGGTTTATTAGGGACCAGGTCATGTGTCGAGCAAGCGTGGTACATGGAAGAAAACCGATGGTTTTCTGTTAAAGGAATCAACTGGTTACTGAACACTTTACATTGAACTTTCAGAGCAACTGCTACCACCTTGTCATGGAGTTTATTATTATCTTTGTTTTACAAACTCATGGTAAGAGTGAAACTTACTGAGTTCTAGGTCTGTTCTAAGTGCTTTCTGTATATTATCGCCTTATTAATCAGTACAGCTACTGTAAGAGTTAGATACTATTAGCCGGATTGACAGAGGCACAGAGTTTAAGGAACTTGCCTGGAACACAAACTGTTTAGAACACAAATTAAAACTGATGGGACTTGATTCAAATCAGAGCTGCCAAAGTGGTGAGCAGTAGCGCTGGAAGGAGAGCGGGGTAGTACCAATAAATACCCACAGTTACAAGCTCCCTGCAGAAACAAGACCAAAAACGCAGGTTCAGCGGTAACGGAGGTAACCTCTGACTATGCAGGATCTTCTTATCTCCCCCTGTAATCAACACAGCCCCTTCCCCGCTCTGAGAAAGGACAATTCTGCTCTGAGGCTGGAAGCAAGAGTTACATAAAGAAACCGTAGAAATCAATAGGGTAGTTTTCTGGGCAGACTGACTAAACTCCTTTATTCCCCAAACGTTTACTAAACACCTACTATGTCCAAACAGGCTTCGCTGGTGGCTCGCAGTAAAGCGCCCGCCTGCACGACAGGAGATTGGGATTCCATCCCTGAGTCACGAAGGTCCCCTGGAGAAGGAAATGGCAACCCACTCCAGTATTCTTGCCTGGGAAATCCCATGGACAGAGGAGTCTGGTGGGTTCCAGCCCATGGGGTCGCAGAGTCGGACACGACTTTGTCACTAAAATAACAACGTCCAAAACACTGTTAGTAGGCTAGTGTGGGGCTCCTGAGAACAGCGACCGCTGACACTTTCTGGAGATAGCACGAGCAGTACTGGTTTGTTGAGGAGTTCTCCCACTTTCTTCTTCCTCAGGAACTGTCCTACCCTTCAAGGTGGCAAGAGCAACGACAGACAAGCACTGCGTACACAGCTGGACTAATACCTAGGGAGATGCGTCAGAAACTTGGGACTCAGTCCCCCAGGCCGGATCATGTATAGGCTGGCTTTCTAGGTAGAGGAGGGATAATAGAATTTGCAGAGACAGGAACTCGGAGTCCTCCGGTCCCGAAGACCTCGACTCCAGCCCGCAACCCCAGCAGGTTTCTGTGCAAAAACCTTTTGAACTGAATGCACACACTGTCCTCTAACAATGCAAACGTGACAGCTGCCTATTGAATAATCGTTCCGCCTCCGTTTAAGCAGTTCGTGCGTGCCACAGAGGCATCTTCTGCGCTATAGTTATGCAACCTCACTCGCAGCGGGAGTTATTTCCTGTGCTTCTGGCTGCGCCAGATTCTTGTAACACGCCTACCCAGGGCTTCAATGGGAGTCGTTCTCCATTAACAACCAGTCTAGCTTTCAGAGATGAATGCCCCGCGCAGCATACCCCTTGCGCAGTAAGAATCCAAGATATTAAAACTCTTTCTCTTCTCGCTGTCTCTCTCTCATGCACACACACGCCGGGCATGCAGCTGAGACTGCAGCAGTGCAACCAGAGGGACAGCAGGCGGAGCTCTCTTTGTACAGTCCCTCTCTCCAACCCCCACCAACTAAAGATGAACTCCTGCCAGTTCCATTCTTTGCAAGGAAAACACACACACACACACACAAACATATAGCAGAACAGAGCGGCCTCCAGTCTCCTCCTGGAGCACACTGTCACCCTAGCTTTTCTGTTCAAACCACCAGGCTATTCGAAAGCAAGTAACGGGGAGCAGCGCGCCGCAACAATGCAACCTCCGGAGCGGCTCCCCGTGCAGCTCCCACCCCCGCCCCCTTTCGCGGCGTGCCAAGAGTTTGGAGCGCGCGCACGCACACGAGCACGGTGCCTGTGTATCCCTCCGCCTCCCTCCTCCTCTCCCCGCTCGGAGGCTCGACAACGATTTGGGAAATGAAGGGAGGAGGGAACTACTTTCCTGAAACTTGCTATGCTGCACACGACTTCCAGTTGCAGTGATTCGTCCGGAGGTCGCAGCCTTTAGTCCTCCTACCTACACGCCCTCTCAGTCCGGGCACTCCGCGCGGCAACCCCGCCCCGTGCCCGCTCTGGCCCTCCGGGAAGCCGGCGGCCTGCAGAAATCGCCAGGGACTACTTCGCCTCCTTCTCCCGCGGGCGCCCCCGGTTCGGGCAGCGGCGGCGGCGGAAGGAGCGGGCGGCGTGAGCGCTTCCGCCGCCCCCCTCGCGGCTCCCCTCTGGCGAGCGTGAGGAGCTGGCCCGCGGAGCTGCTGGTGGGCACCGTCTGGTGGGGGACCCGAGGCCGGTCTCCTCGCTCTCCCGCCTCTTCTCGGGACCCTGCCCCTCGAGCGTGCTGCTCTTCTCCGACCCGGGTGAGGACGATACGTTCGCCCGCCCCTGCCTCACACGCGCCCCGCCGCCCCCTCCTCCCCCTTCTGGAGTCGTCCTGGCCGGAGCGTGTCTGGAGGAATCCGCCGCCGTGAGGCCCCTCGCCCGCTTCTGCTCGTCCGGAAGGACCGGCCCGGTCGCCGCCCGGGGCTGAGCGGGCAGCCGGCGGCGAGGCGGGAGATGGTGGGGTGGGCTCCGGCAGGACCGCGTCGCCGCCGCCCGGAGCTTGGGCTCGGCACCCCCCCGCCGGCCCCCACCAAGCGGATCCTTGCTTCCTCCTCGCCGCATCCCTGAGGGAAGCGCCGCCTTTGCCCCTGGGTTCTCAGCCCGCCTGCCTGCTCCTTGCTGGCCGGACCCCGCCGCGCTCCACCAGTGGCCCGAGGAGCCTGTCTCCAGTCAACCTTCGCAGCCCCCCTTCCTTTTTTGCTTGGCCCCCACCCTCCCCGGCCTCCTCGGATCCTTTGGCTGGACGCTGAGGCGGGGGAAGAGGCTGGGGTCGCCACGGTGGAGGTTGTCGCCGCCACCCCCCTGCGGGGGTGGCCGGGGTTCCCGGCTGGGGGGGCACCATTCCGGGTGAGGCATCCACCATGGTGAGGCCCCTGAGCCGCTGCCCCCGCGCCCCCCCGGCCGCCGCTGCCTCCTGCCCCTCAGTGCTGCTGCTGCTCCTCTGCCTGCTGTTGCTCCTCCATCTCCAGATCGGATCGCGGTGAGGGAAAGATGAGCGAGGAGACGGCGACTTCTGACAACGAGTAAGCACCTCACTGATCTTGATTACTAAGCCCCCCCGCCCCCCCCCATTTTTCCTCGACACCTCCCCAGACCTCCTCGGGGAGTTGGGTGCTTGCAACCGTGGAGAGTTTGAGTGCATCTTGTTCTGGAGAAAACATTTGATTTCTTTAGCCATTTTATGTAATGGCAGGACCCCCGGACCCCCACCCCCAGCATGTAGTTGCTTTCTTCTGGGAGAAGGTATTGAATTTGGGCTGGGATGGCAATTGTTTGTCCATGAGATGGAATAATATGGATGGATGGAGGAGGGGTAGCAATTATCCCACCCAGTGCCTGGAAGACCTCTGGCCTGTCCTTTTTCACTTTAGCACACCAATCAACACACCTTAAATATCCATTTTGCCTCCTTTATAGCTGTTTCACTTGGAAACTAATGTGTAGGAGCACCTCCTGCATCAAACTGCACTTGAATCTTAATTCGATGAGTCAGTGTTTCTTAAATACCGATTAAGCCTCCCCCCGCCCCTCACCCTTTTTAAACTTATGACCTGTAAAATTTTTGTAAAAAATGGAGCTAGGGAAGCATTTTTATAATTTCTGTAGCTTTGGGGACACCTGGAGTGTGGGCGATGTTGAACTATTCTATTTTGCTTTGCGAACGCTGGACTTATCTTTATGAGGAGCATAAGAAAATTTTGAAAGCTAAATTTTATCTTTCAGCTACATTGAAACACACCGTTCACGTCGATTTAACAGTGTTTACATTGCTGAACATGTTGATGACTTCATTCATTAACTCGTAGAGCATCTCAGCTTAAGTTTTTGTTTATTTGGGCTGTCGTTATGTTTTCCAAGCAAAATACTTTGCCTTTTAAATATTTTGCTGTAACATAATAGCTGCCTGGAGGAATAATGAGGCTGCAGCAGTTTTCTGTTGAGACGGAACTTAATTTCATGCGAATGTTAGTGTCCGTTTTCTTGTTATTAAATTCCAAGTTTTGTTTATCTTCGGAGGGTTGGAAAGAGTTAAAGTGAGTTAGGACTAGTCCTAGGACGCATTCCTGTAAGTAAAGAGCATTCCTCGAGTCAGACCTTTCTGAGAGCTTTAAAGTCCGAAGCCTAGGCTTGTTTAACATAAAATAGCCTGAGAAGTGCCGCGCGGCGTCCACCCTGCACCCCCGCCCCCCGCCCCACAGCGCGCTCCTCCGACGAGCGGGGTGTGGGAGAAGGTGGATTGCTGCAGTGTCAGTGCAGTCTAGAAGCAGAAGTGGCCGCCATGTTCTCTCTCTTTTTGTGAATCGCCCTCATTTGCATAGCACACTTTTCATTCATAAAAAAATAATTAAACATCCATCACCTTGGACATCTTGAAAGGATTTCCCAGGAAGAAATTGGAAGCTCAACTGCCAGTCTTCATGTAAAGTTTTGAGGTCAGAAAGTAAGGAGCAATCGAAGTTATAGGTTAAATTCAAAAATATACGCCCACACAAACAACTACCCCTGTTCTCAGAATGTTGACACAGTTATGTGGGAAATATCAGTTCGGGGAGGTGCTGGGATCACGTGATCGCCTCCATTCATAAAATACCTGGCTGGCCATTCACAGTGCTGTACACTGTCTCACAGCCTTCCGCAGATTAGACCTACTTTGAGAGAGATCAAGACGTATCTCAGATAACGCTTAGTTAGAAAAACTGCTAAAACCCGTGAACAGAATGACGGTACTTTTTGCTGATAACCTTCTTTTAAGAAAGTAGCCTGGATCAAAATGCTAGGTTCTATTTGGGGGATGGGGGAAGACTAATTACCATATTTAAAGTAAAATATTTAATACCTCCTTTTATGGATGCAGCTAATAGAAACGCTAATATGGAAATGTGAATTGACACACGTGTAAAATACAGTTTTTAAGTGGACTCTTATAATACTTACCGTGGACAAATTGAGAGTACAAATTTTTTGTTGTGGTGATTATCAGTGAATGATAACTTTTTACACTAAAAATGAATAAATATTCCCGGTGGTTTAATCTCAAAGATTTGATATTTGAAGCACCTAATGACAATATTTATTAACGGTAAAATTGCCTTTAAAATAATTAATGTACTTAGTATGGGACAATTTGGATATTATCTCACTCAGACTTAAGAATTTTGTTTTCACTAATTTATCCTGGTTTGTTGTTAAATTTTTTCCTGCTAGGGGCTTTGTTAATGTTAATTTTGATAGGTCGAGAATAATATGTTTTAACATACAATTTTTGCCATGAGATGTTAACTCTTCGTGGGGACAACCTCTTGTGGGTTTTACTTTTATTTTTTTGTTTTAGAAAGTGATGTGTTCATCTGATAATCAGTTTTATTAGAGCCTGCATTGTTTGTGCAATAGGTAAACCAGAAAGAGTGAACTTTTTTGGAATGTAGACATTATCCTGATAATTTAGGTATCTGCTCTTTAATATATAATGTTTTCAAATGGAAATTCCTTATTTATAATTACATGTATTAGGAAGAAACAAATGTTATGGTAGATGTCCTTAAAGCCTTAGCATAGTTTAAAACTGCCCTAATATATGGTTTTTATTGGAGCCTTATGTGTATTTTTTCCTTTTTCTTTTCTCTCTTTTTTTAAAATCCATAATCAATAGGTAATTAGAGACTGTTCTTAACACTTGTATGTTTTTCACGTGATTTTGACTTTTAAAAAGAGTGCAAATTACCAGTGTCTTAGAAAACCATTAACCTTTTCTAGATAGCCATTGTGGTAAAATCAAGTAAGGCTTTTAGAGGCCTCATTTTGAAACCCTCTAGTACATGCTTATTTGAAATTAGAGTTATGTGTAGAGAGAGAAATAGTTCTCAGAGGTTGATTGTGGGTATATATTTAATTAAGTAATATATTTAAACTAAGTAAGTAATTCTGTAAGTCTGTAACACTTCGTCTTATACAATGCCAGACTTGGGGAGGGTTGGTGAAAGTCTGCTTTTCTTCTCCAGCCTTCAGTAGGAACTGTAAGTGCATTAAAAGTGTTATTAAAAACAAAAAAAAAACCCAACAAAACCCTCCATGCAAGAGTGATAGTTTATTTCAAATGATGCACAAACTGGTATTTAAAGTGAATAAGTAATGTATTTGCATTTCTACCATTCACATAACTATTTAAACATTTGATACGTAGTCAAACTCTCCCTTTCCTGTGATGTTGATAATGAATCATGTTCATTTATCTGATTTTTACTATGTGCCAAGAGTAAAAATCTGTGATAAATGCTTTACACATGTATTATATAATTTATATATACACATGTAGTTTCAGCAAAGTAGAGTTGCATAGTAGGGTACTGTCATACCTTAATATACGTGAATATTTTCTGGTATCATTAAATATTTCCTAAAACATAATTCTTAACACCTGTATTATGTTCAGTGTATAACATATTTTAATTGATCTACTATTTTTCTGTTATTTCTGAACAGTGATGCCTTTGATCCTAAGTTGTGTCTTCATCCAAATCTTTTTCTCCTTGAAATAGTCTAGAGATTGAATAAAATACACAAATTTTAAGTTGTCTTACTCTTTCTGCTAAATTGCTCTCTAGAAAAGAAGACTCATGTATGGGAGTGCTTACGCCTTTTTCTCTTTGAAAAAAAATTTTTGCCCACTTTGAAGGTGGAAATGAGATTGTATTCCTATTTTTTAAATGTCTGGATAATAAAATTGATTTTTTAGAAAATAGAAAACTTGTTAGTTGGTTGTGGGGCAACTGCACTGTTTTTAAACATAAGGAGAATTAAGATGATCATATAAAAGGCATTTACTAATAATTTATGTAACTCTCACCAACTTTTATGTGGGGCTTCCCTAGTGGCTCAGATGGTAAAGAATCTGCCTGCAATGTGGGAGACCCAGGTGCCATGCCTGGGTTGGAAAGATCCTCTAGAGAAAGGCATGGTAACCCACTTCAGTATTCTTGCCTGGAGAATTCCATGAATGGAGGAGCCTGGTGGGCTGCTCTCTTTGGGGTCACAAAGAGTCAGATGCCACTAAAATGTAAAGAATGTTGGACTTGGACTTGGGAGTTGAGTTTCTGTCCTAACTGTACCTAATTTATTCTCTGATTCTGGGCAAGTGACAGCCTTTGGGGGTACTCAGTTTGCTAACTTGTAAATCAAGGAATTTGAGCTAATCATCATTATGAGCTCTTCTTGTTCTAAATTATCCTAAAGTAATACAGTGATATACACACTGTAAGTCTAATGCATTAGACTCCATAGTCTAATACACAGTAACATATGTGTTTGTTAATTGGTCAGTTTGATTAGATTGTTGATTTTGATATGTTTAAGCAAATGAAAAACTTCCAGTAGATCTCATAGGATGATGAAGTAGAAGCATGAATTTTGAAGAACCAAGATACATTTGGAAACAGTTGGTGCATTCCTAATCTCTAAAGGTTTCCTCATTTTGAGCTTAAATTAATAGCCATGTGTCTTTGATAATATTTATAATATTCATTACCGATAGAAAACTTTTGTTTTTCCAATAAATATGGTCTTTAGATGAATAAGTGAACAAAAGGCTTTGGGGATAGGTATTAAGAGGAATATATTAAGATACCAGCTCTCATGCTTTACTTCCTGGCCTAGACGTGTCAAAAGTCAGTCTTTTCATTTGGTTTTTCACACAAATGTTAATCTAACACTAGAGAATAATTTCACAATTATTCAGTTTAAGAAATTAACTCAGATAATGAATTGTTTTGTTCTTTTAAGTTTAATTTGCTGTTTCAAGTTTTGTGTGATAGCGTTATCTCATTTTAGAGTCTAGAACCAAAGTCTTAACAGACCCATAAGGTGTTGTTTTTGTGGCACGCAGAATGGTTTGTAATGGGAAGGAGAGAACAATTGTTGGTATATTTTTGTTTAAACATAGTTCATTATTTTTGCTAAAACATAGTTAATGAGTACTGGATCTCAGGCTGAGGTGGTAATTGATTTAGACATAAGGGCTTAGAACTCA